GATTGGTCTACTTGATCGGACCTCTGAGATCTCCCAGGCGTGGTGGAGAGCACCCCAACGCTTTGGTCACGAATTTTTTGACTTTTTCGGGATAGCTTTCGTTTGCGACTGCTCGCTTGAAAAGCTCGGATAAATAGGTGCCTATCTGGTTGATGGGCCCCTTTTTTATAATGGGCTAAATAGCTCGCGCCGACGTACATTAGAATCGCCCCCACCGAGCGGACGGGAAGACGGAACGGCGTGGGTCCCGCTCGTGGGAGCGCGGCGGAGCCGGGCGCGGGGAGATCTAACTCCTTCGCTCGATAGTCGTCGGCCGTTTTCGGCGTGCTTCGTCGATTCGGCCTGGCTTGGTTTTAAGCCGTTGTGGCGTTCAAAAAAATGTGGCGCTACGCGCCCTGTCCTTTGCCTAGCGGTGTTCTGCCGGGCGGCAGCTTCCAGCTCGCATGCTGGGTATTAATTAGGGGGGTGCAAGGATGCATCGTTATAAAGGTATTGTTACGATCCAAAATATCTTATATCCGAGATACACACCATTGTATACTATTATATCAGCTTTAATAAATTCTAGCTCCTTATCACGGCACGCTACGACGTGCATCTGCGACTCAAAGAAAATTGCATAAAATAACGACTTAGCGCCTCGCGCCGAATATCGCGTTCACGCATAATTACACGCGTTACACGCTACACGCGCTCACACACACAACCACGCGCATATACATTCACACTGTAATTCAGACACCCAATAAACTTGTTTATTTTATTTCTCACACACGCTCTCGCTCATTTACAAAACCTCGAACCTGGATTTCCGATCCTGTTATCTATCAATGAAATCGCGCGGAAATCACTCCGTGACATTGGCGCCCGAACAGTTGTAAAACCGCATTACGAGTAGAGCGTGCGAGTGAGTAATGAAAGCGTGAATATACAGACTTAATAAAGAGCAATTAATTATAATGGCGAAGGCACTGAATATAGAAGACGTGGGTACTTTAGAGGAAATTCGCAAACGAATTAGCCGATTCGCGGAGGAACATCCCGAACAGATCGACGCGTTTGAGACATTCGCAGGGGAATCAGGCGCCCAGGGGGCGATACCCCGGCTGACAATTCCGACACTGGCAAACGCGGAATTTAGAACACCCACTGCCGCAGAAATGGTATTTTCGTATGACGGGAAGACTATTAACCAGATTCGCAAATGGGGATGCCATTTCGATGGCCGAGACCCCGCCGCATTTTTAGAAAGAGTGGGGGAGTTAAGACAAGCATACGGCCTTACAGCACCGCAACTCTTGCAGGGACTCCCGGAACTACTGAAAAGGGACAGTTTGTTATGGTACAGGAATTACCGAGATTCGTGGGAAACATGGGACGAATTCGAACGCGATTTCCGGAGGCAATTTTTGCCTCGACGAAACGCGGCCACATTACGTCGAGAAATCATGGGACGGCACCAGCAATCGACGGAAAAATTTGCACAATACGTCATGGTAATGATGACATTGATGCGTCGGGCCGGAGGATATTCGCGAGACGAGCAGCTCGAGATTATTTATGAGAACATAAACCCGGCGTATAAACATTACATAAGAATCGACGACGTGCATAGCATAATGCAATTACAGACTCGGGCCGCGGAATTCGAGGATATAGTACAGGAGGGTATAGTACAGGAACAAAAAGAGGCAGCAAAACGCGAAAAAGACAGCGCGAAACCGACTATAGCAGCGGTATACAACAAAAAAGACTGCTGTTGGCGGTGCAAGCAGAGGGGACACACACGCGCACAGTGTAGGAGACAAGCAAAGAAATTTTGCTCCCAGTGTGGTCGGGACGGAGTCCTGACAAAAGACTGCCACCCGAAGGCGGGAAACGCCTCCGGGGCCGGGGAAAGCACGGCCGCGAACACAACCTCGAGCCCCGCATAATATTCACACCGCGATCACACGTAATGATAAACATCCACGGACGAAAATACTGCGCTTTGGTGGACGGAGGCTCGGAAATCTCGTTGATTAGTCAGATCACAGCCGAGAAATTAAACAAGGAAGGGGTAAAAACCGAAAGAAACAGGGGGGCGGTAAGCTTAGCAAATGGATCTACGGGTGAAACGCTAGGATACATGGAACTCCCATGTCAGATAGGCAGACGGATGATCAAACACAACTTTGTCATCCTCCCACACATGGAGGACAAAGTAATCATCGGAATCGATCTGCAATACCGACTACGCCTAAGGATTCCGCCACCACCGAAATATGTGAAGAGACTACTGCCGAAGTGCAATACAATCGGGAGGCTAGCTGTACAAACTCCGGAGGAAAGGGAGCAATTACAGCAGTTCCTAGAAAAAGAATTACAAGAATTCGAAAAAGTCTATGGGCCGACTAAAAAGGTGGAACACCTCATAAGACTAAAGGATGAGACGCCCATCAAGCAAAGGTACCGGCCACGCAACCCGGCCATGCAGGCCATTATTAACAAAGAAGTGGACGAAATGATAGAACAAAGTGTGATAGAACCATCTCATAGCCCGTGGAGTTCTCCCATTGTAATAGTAAAAAAGAAAGACGGCAAACACCGGTTCTGCATAGATTTCCGCCGAGTAAACGACGTTACGCACAAAGATGCGTACCTGCTACCGCAAATTACCGCAACACTCGACAAATTAAGGGAGGCGCGTTACCTATCCACGCTCTACCTGAAGAATGGGTACTGACAAGTTCCGCTCGCGAAGGAAAGCCGACCGATAACCGCATTTACCGTTCCGGGGAAAGGATTGTATCAATTCACAGTGATGCCATTCAAGCTGCATTCGGCACCAGCCACATTTCAGAGATTGCTAGATACAGTCCTCGGGCCAGACTTAGAACCACACGTTTTCGTTTATCTAGACGATATCATCGTAATCAGCAAGACGTTTCACGAACATTTAGAGCTGCTCGCCGAGACCTTCCGTTGCCTTCGAAACGCACAGTTACGGCTGAACCCTGATAAGTGCAAATTTTGCGTAGATAAGCTAAAATATCTCGAGCACATTATAGACAAGGAAGGAATCCGTACAGACCCCGAAAAGGTTAGCGCAGTAGCCGATTGGCCGGAACCGCGAACGGTCAAGCAAATTCGGCAATTTATCGGGATGGCCTCGTGGTATCGGCGATTCATTGCGAATTTTTCCGAAATAGCTGCACCGCTTACACGCCTAACTAAGAAAAACGCTCGCTGGACATGGGGAATCGAACAGGCAAAGGCGTTCCGCACGTTAAAAACAAAGCTGATCTCCGCTCCAGTCCCGGCCTGCCCAGACTTCACGAAGCGTTTTTGCTTGCAGACAGACGCAAGCACTTCCGGTCTCGGTGCAGTCCTCACGTAACAACACGAGGACGGAGAAAGAGTTATTGCATACACGAGTCGAACTTTAAACGCGGCAGAACGAAATTACTCCGCGACCAAACTCGAATGTCTAGCGATCGTCTGGGGAATCCGGCGGATGAAAAGTTATCTGGAAGGCTATGCCTTCATCGTCATAACCGATCACCAGGCCTTAAAATGGCTTTAAAAACTAGAATCTCCGACCGGATTCGGACGCTGGATATTCGAGTTGCAACAATACGAATTCGACATTAGATACCATCGAGGGGTTCAAAACCGCGTGGCAGACGCGCTGTCACTATACCTGGAAGTCTGCGCTATCGAACGGAAGAAGTGCCGCTGGTACGACCGAGTGCGGGAAGAAGTAAAACAGGATCCAGCCTCCAGACCGGAATACAGAATCAAGGAAGGAAAGTTATACCGGCACATCCTACATACACTAAATTTCAAGGAGATAAGCAGCAACGACCAATGGAAACTGTGCGTCCCAACACCGATACGGCAAAAGGTCACGCAAAAATATCACGACGAACCGACAGCCGGACACTTCGGCATTGCGAAAACGATCGCCAGGATTGCCGAGTGTTATTATTGGCCAGGCATGTTCCGGAACATAACGAAATACGTACGAAACTGCAAAAATTGCCAAAGCCACAAGGCAGCACAAGAGAAACCACCGGAAAAACTACACGCAACCGAAACGAGAAGACCTTGGCAGCAAGTCTTCAACGATTTAATTGGTCCATTACCTAGATCCAAGAAGAGCATACGTGGCTACTAGTCATGCAAAACCGCTTTTCAAAATGGACCGAACTTGCACCGCTGCGCCGAGCCACGGCCGACGCCATCACACAAGCAGTCACTAACAACATCATTATGCGACACGGCAAACCAGAAAGCATTCTGTCGGATAAGAAACGCAATTACGATCTCGACAGCTGGAGGAGAGACTGAGAGAGTGCAACATCAAGCACATAACCACTCCGGCATATGTACCTCACTGCAATCCGGTAGAAAGGACGAACCGCTCAATAAAAACAATGCTGAGCCAGTACGTCGGCAAGGATCAGAAAGCGTGGGACGAGAAGATAAACGCATTACAATTTGCATATAATACGGCCGTACACGACGCAACAGGGTATACGTCTGCATTCTTAAACTGCGGTCGTGAACTAATATCACGTGGCCGACGATCCGCCGAACGATCAAACGACAACTCCGGAAACAATCAGGAGACAGCTGGAGGAAACCAACGAGCTCGTCAGGATAAATCTCGCTAGAGCCTTTGAAAAACAAAAACAGTATTACGACCTGAGAAGGAGGGCTTGGAAACCGCACATCGGCGAATGGGTCTGGAAAAAAGATCACCAGTTGTCCAAAAAGATCGATAATTTCAACGCCAAACTCGCGCCGAAATATAGCGGGCCCTACGAGGTGCGTCGGATAATTTCACCTGTGATCGTAGATCTCCGGAGCAGGCGGGGAAGGTGGCTGAAACACGTACACATCCAAGATCTAAAAGCAGCAAGAACAGACTCAGAGGACGAGGACAATAACAATAACAGCAGCGATAGCTAGGATGACGATAACTAATTTGAAACAACCATTCACTTCGATTCGACATGTCGAGCAGCGAAGAGATTCTCCGAGCCATCGAAGAATACTTGGGCGAACCCTCCGCCACCGAGACGCAGTCCGCGCCACCGGCTCCGCCACCAGAGCCGCAACAGCAGCCGCCACCGCCGAGGGTCGGAACGACCATCCAGAGGTCCGACCGGGTCAACGAGCAGAAGCGGCTGATGCTCTTGGCCCAATCGCCGCCACCACCTGGGCGTAGGCCAATCCGGCCTTACGAAAGGCCGCCGAAACCGCTGCTGAAGACCGCAGCCGAACCGCCGCCAAAAGAGATCCTGCGGCCGATAGGACCGCTGACCGCGCCGCCCATCAAAGTGGAGATCGAGTCCGGCCTGATCGTCGAGGTGCCGCATTTCGCGGTACATGTTAGCCGGCGCTACAAACCGCGTACTCCACAGGGACGCTGGATTTTGCGTTTTTCCGGGGACGGAAAACTCCGTTATAAGCGGAAAATCAACTAGCTCCGTCCGTACCAGATGATCCAGACGTCTGACCGACCGAACAATCGTCCAATCCACCGCTCCGGATCGAGCGTAGTGCCTCGAATTCAGGCACAAATATAAGGGGGGGGGGTGATGTAACGATGCACCCCGTGCACCCCCTTAGATGCATCGTATACCCGGCATGCGATCCGCCGGAAGCTGCCGCCCGGCAGAACACCCGCCGGGCATAGGCAGGGGCGCGGTGCGCCCACATTTTTTAAACGACTTTAACTCTTTTGGAAAAGGGAGCCGAATACCGTCGAGTGTTGCCGACGTGTCCCGATCCGGCGACCGGCGAAAACCCGCGCTCGGCGCACACCCCGAACCCCTCCGAGCGGGCCCCCGACCGTACCGCTTTCCGTAACCCGTTCGGAAGGGGTAATACCGCCGCGCGCCGACGCGGGCAATTAAGCCGGTATAAAACGGACACGTTCGGCACACTAATTACCTTTTCCCGATCCGCTCTCGTTAAGAGAAGTAGCTTTGAAACCTAGACCGCTCCGAAATTAAAATCTCGCTTTCAGAAAGGAGGTAGAGTGAACTCTTCCTCCATCGAGTGCTCTCGATCCACAAAGCCAGATCACTTCCATCCGATCTTCATAAACCCGACCGAAGAACAGGAATCCGAGTGAACTCCGATTCCGTCGAGAGATCTCGACTACCGGTCTAAAATCCGACCGCCAAACGCAAGTGCATCTTTCACGAGGTAGAGAAGAGAGCTACCTCAGACGAGTCGCTCTCGTCGGCACTGCGTTCCCGAAAATCCATCCTAATTGCAAGGGACTGTCTATTTAAATACCACGTAACCGCATTTATTAAATTCTGCGAAATATGGCGCGCGTTCCTAACACTAGCCAGAAATAAATATACTAACAAGGCTTTCCCGGCGTGCGTGCATAAAAACGATACACGCTGCGTCAACGGTCATTGACCACGCCCGAATCACAACACGCGCCGTATATACCATTTAAAGGTATTGTTACGATCCAAAATATCTTATATCCGAGATACACACCATTGTATACTATCATATCAGCTTTAATAAATTCTAGCTCCTTATCGCGGCACGCTACAATGTGCATCTGCGACTCAAAGAAAATTGCATAAAATAACGACTTAGCGCCTCGCGCCGAATATCGCGCTCACGCATAATTAAACGCGTTCACACACAGCTACACGCGCTCACACACACAACCACGCGCACATACATTCACACTGTAATTCAGACACCCAATAAACTTGTTTATTTTATTTTTCACATACGTTCTCGCTCGTTTACAAAACCTCGAACCCGGATTTCCGATCCCATTATCTAGCAACGAAATCGCGCGGAAATCACTCCGTGACATGGTGCTATTTCTTAGAGGCGGGAATTTAGCTTTTTGCAATTGTTTGTAAATTGTACAGTCTTTGTAGTTAGCTGGATAATTCCTTCCGCACAGAACACACTTTACTTTATCAGATCTTTCTTTATGTAGGCAGTCTGATGTTCTGTACACTTTACACAACGGCAGTCTGATTACCTGTACACTTTACACAACGCGGAGGATGAAAACAGAAGTTCTTTATGTGACCGTATCGTTGACAATTCATGCATTGGGGTATTTCACGTTTGAAGTGCGGCGCTTCAAATTTGACTTTTGTGTTTAACAGATATTCAATTGTGTAAATATTTTTATTATTTTCGTCTGGTCTCAGATCCACAGAAAATAAGGATGGAGGCTTTTTCGTTATTCTTTATCGCATATTCATAATATTTAATACTATGTGACCATAACTTTCGATTTCCTTTTTTATACTTTCGATCTCAACTGAGTAATGCATGTTTCTTAATACTACTCTGAAGGATTTCTCTTGTTTCTTCTGGTAAGTATGATATTCCGTATTTTTTTCCTTTAGAGCTTTAACAATTACATCATAGTCTTCGATGGTTTTGGCTTGAACCTTGACTTGTTCTTGACTTTGCACTTTAATAATATAATTATCCTTAGAGATTAAGTTTAACATATTCATTAACGGACTAATACTGACACCTGAAATGAATATGGGTTATGTTAGGTTTAATGATATCTATGCTTTCCGATTCTTCGATTTCCTGATTGTCTAAATATTTATATCTATTGGCTGTATTAACTGGCGCGCTTAGCCAGTAATCGGCAATGGGTGTTTGTTTTGAATTGCGCCGTGTGTTATTATTTTCTGGGCTAGATACAGGTCGTTTGTTCTTACTTTTAATTTCTTGCCAGCCATTATGTTTTTCCACAATTTGCTGTTTTGAGAATATCCCATTGCTACTATGGGATTGATCCATCGTGAATCCGGCTGATTGTCCCGGTAAATCTGATTGCTCTTGTTGCGGCTCAGCATCCGTCTGCTCTTGTGTATTGTTATGTGTTATTTTTGTCTGTGTGATTTTCACGACAGTGTTATCACATCCACTGGCCATAGTGGCCACGGATTATTTGGGCAGAGATTATTGCCCCCTTCAAACCTTGAATTGTCAGTAGTGCCCGTTGGTTATTAGATATTAACTATTAGTATAACTTATGTATTATGTCTTACATATGCGAGAAAACAAAATTGCAAATTAAATTAAATACTATTATATCAAATTTAGGAAAATACGAACCCAAAAGTCCTGTAAATGTCAAACCAAAAGTAACACTACTACAAGATGTCCTAAACACTTCGGAATGTATTAGTAAGTTTTATATTAAATTATTATTATTTGTTATTTTTTTAGAAAATTACTATCATTATCATTATTTATAATATTTGTTAAAATATTAATTGACTTCCGTTTCCGGTAGCGAGAGTATCAGTTGAGTGAGAGTGGTGTGTGATTTTAAGGGAGAGTAGATCGAGGGTGAAAAGGGTTGAGAAGGAGAAGGAGTGGTGGAGTGGCAGAGAAGGGTCAGGTGGAGTCAGGAGAGTGGAGGAGAGGGTATTGAGTGTACAGAGAGTGGAGGAAAGGTTGGAAAGAGAATAGAGCAAAGCGGCGCAGGCCATAGAGTAACGGGAGAAGATAGAGGGATAGGCGGGAGAAGAGAAGTAGAGGTGGCGACGACAGGCGGCAGAAATGGGAAGTACAGAGGAAAGGAAAATGAAAAGGTTGACAGGGAATGGGAAAGAAGTGGAGGAGAAGGAGGGTGAGAGAGGGGAACAGAGGGGTAGAGAGGTTAGTGAAGAGGAAGAAAAGGGAGAGGAAGGGGAAGAGTGATAGGAAAAAGGTAGGAAGACCGAGGAATGTGGAGAGGTTGGCAAGGGAGAGAGCGAATAGCATGCCGCTGTTAGAGGTGTTTAAGAGGGGGGAGAAAAGAAAGGAGAGGCAGGGGGAAGAAAGGGAGGTAGAAGGGATAGAGATTTTTAAGAAAAGTCACAAAGTAGAGAGGTCACCGGTGAAGGAGATGGGAGGGGGATGGGAAGATATTATAAGGGAAATGAGAGAAGGTTTTAAGGAGCTAATGAGAGAGATGAAAGAGCTAAGAGAGGGTAGAGAGGAGATGAAGGCATGGATGGAGGAAAGTAAGAAGGGGTGGGAAAAGGAGAGTGAGGAGTTGAAGAAGAGAATGGAAAGTTTGGAGAAAAGGTTGGGGGAGTATGAGAAAAGAGAGGGAGGGAGAGGAGGGGAAGATAGGAGAAAGGAGGAGAAAGAGGGAGGGGATTTGATGGAAAGAATAGGAGAAGGAGTAGGAGAACTGGAGGGAAGGATGAGGAGGATGGAGTTGGAGGGGGAGAAGAAAAGGAGAGGAAAAGGAATATAATAATAAGAGGAGTTGTGGTGAAGAAGGAAGGGCAGGAAGGGCTAAAAGAGGAAGTGGAAGGGATAGTGAAGGCAACGGGAGCAGTGGTAGAAATAGAGGGGATAAGGAGGATAGGGGGAAGGGGAAAAGAGAGAGGGGAAATGGTGTGGGTAAGATTCGCAAGCGTGCAGGAGAAACTAGAGGTAATGAAGGGAAAAACGAAGCTTAGAGATAGGAGGGAGCGGATTACGGATGATCTGACGGAAAGAGAGAGAAGGGTGGATTGGCTAATCAAGCGAGAAGTGGAAATGAGAAGGAGGGAAGGGAAAAGTGGGATACATGAAACTGTGGGTAGAAGGGAAGATGTGGATATGGGATGAGTTGGAGGATGAGTTAAGGGAGAGAAAAGAGCAGGTGGGATTAAAAGAGAAGACGGTAGGGGAAGAAGTTGGAGTGAGAAAGAGAAAGGAGGTTTTTTGCTAGAGGGGGGGCAGGAGGAAAGAGGGGAAGTGAAGATGGAAAAAGGGGGCAGAGGAAACAGAAAAAAGAGAAAAAGAATGGGAAAAAGAAAAATGTACAAAGTGGGTTTTTGGAATGTGGCAGGTTTAGAAAATAAGGATAAAGATTTTTGTGAAAAAATTAAGGGAATGGGACATAATATCTTTGAGTGAGACGTGGTTAAGGAAGAAAGAATGGGAAAGGGTAAGAAGGTGGCTTCCAAAAGGTTATATTTGGGAAGTGCAGGAGGCGGAAAAAAGAAATAAAAAGGGGAGAGCTATGGGAGGGATGATTTTGGGAAGAAGAGAAGAAATTGAGGTAGAAAGAGAGGAGAGTCAGGGAATAGAAGGAGGGATAATGACGGGGAAAATGTGTTTGGAGGAGAGTGGTGGAAGTTATATGTGAACAGGGACCTGGAAGAGAAAATGGAAAAATTGAGGGATTGGATGGAGGATGAAAAGGAAGGGGTAAGAGTGCTAATAGGGGGGGGATTTTAATGCGAGGACAGGAAGGGAGGGGGGGAGAGTAGGCGAAAGCTGTGAGAATATAGGAGAAGAAGGGAGAAGGTCGAAGGATGGGAAGATCAATGGTGATGGGAGGAGGTTGTGTAGATTTCTAGAGGAGGTAGGATGGTCAATATTAAATGGGAGTGTGATAGGGGATGAGGAGGGAGAATGGACGTACACAGGAGGAAAGGGGGGGTACAGTAATAGACTATGTGTTGGGGAATGAAGAGACGAGGGAGAGGGTTAAAAACATGAAGGTAGAAGATAGGGTGAATTCGGACCATCAACCAATTACGGTATGGGTGAAGAGGGCGGTAAGAAGGAAGAGATAAGGAAGGGTAGAAAGAAAGGAGGAAGAAAGGGTATTTGGACAGACGAAGGAAGATGGAAATTTGAGGAATTTTTTGGTAAAAAGGGTGAGGGATGGGAGGGGGCGGAAGAGGGATGGAAGAGGTTAAGGAGGAGAGTGGAAGAGGCACTGGAAAAGGTGGAGGAAGGAAGGGGAGGGAAGAAGAGGAAGGGATGGTGGGATGAGGAGTGCAGGAGGATGAAAGTGGAATTGAAGGAGGAGCTTAGGAGATGGAGGAGGGGAGGAGGGGAAGGGGAAAATTATAAGGTAATAAAGAAGGAGTATAGAAAATTATGTGAGGAGAAAAAGAGGGAGGAGAGAGAAAGATGGGAGAGAGAAATTGAGCTGGTAAAAACGGAGGGGCAGGTATGGAAGGTAGTAAACAGAGAAAGGAAAAGAAGGAGGGGAGTAAAAGAAGGGATTAAAATGGAAGAATGGGAAGGATATTTTAAAGAGGTGTTAGGAGGGGTAGACTGGAGAGTAACAAGGGAAGGAGGGAGTAAAGGAAGGGGATATGAGGAGAAAGGGGAGATTAG